GGAAAAGCAGTTTTCCTGGAATTCTCTGCAATTAGCACATTTAACAGCAAAGACATGACTTGATTGATAGCACTAAAAAACTGCAATAACCAAAATTTTATCAGTATCAAGTATTTTTACTTGACAGCGCAAATATCTTATTGAGCGGGAAATAAGAAATGAACTTACAAATAACTTTTAAGCAAAATAAAGGAGCTTGTTTTAAGTAAATAATTAGCTAATATTGATTAGGTGGCAAATTATTTCACTTATTACATGAGAAAAATGTGTTATTGAATGTGTTAGTGAATTAATCTGCCAATTGAAGTGGAACTTTTTCATCAATATCAAGGAATTGTTGACTTACAACAAGGTCTTGTATCTTGCTGAAAAGTTTCTTCTTTATTTCCAAATATATTAAGATATTTGCACTAGAAACCAAAGTAAAATAATCGATAAGATTTTGTGTTTTTACAGTGAAAGTCGACATGTCTGTGTCCCTTTATCTCAAGCTGTTTGTGATCAGCCAACCTTGACTAAAACTTCAGTTTCACCACTGAAGAAACGTCTGATTATGCCAAATTATCCAAATATCCAAAGTCAGGCCACTCTTCCTGTACTAATGAGTGATGTGTGATGTCTTATATGTTGTTAAATATGTCCTTCTCAGAATTAAAGCGTTATTAAACTGAGATCCCCCTGTTGGTCCAGTATGTGTGGTTAAACTCTGCAGAAGGAAAATTAGTGACGTATAAGCTGAACAAAACCTGTATTGTATGAAAGCAGTCAGCTGAACAGAGCAGCATACTCCTGAATCACTGAGTTAGTCAAGGACAGAGGGAAAAATAGACAAATTCAAGGAACATCAGTTCTGTGAAAATGTGATTGCAGGAGTTTTGTGTGGAATCAGAGATCTCTCGGTTTGATAAAAGGGTAATCAAGGCCACTCGGCTGGATTTCTGTTTGCAGCAACATCAGAATGTGCCAACATTCAAGCAATAGAAATGTTTCATTTTTCTTTGTTGTTTGCATAAAAAGTCACAAGTTTGGGGAATTATGCAGCTCTTAGACGGATGTTTGGAAGCACAGGAAACAATCCTGAGGCTTACTTTAGTATAAATCCCACATACACGATGAAGTTGGATGCTGAAAAGTAGGACAGCAACGCGTCTCGACCTTAAACTGCAATATTTTTGAGTGCATGTCTAGACTTCCACAGAAAATGAGAATGAAGTCTAATCAGATTGAGGCAGAACATGAAAAGAAGCCACAGACAGTAAAGTTTAGGGGAATAACCTGAGGATTATTCATGATGAACACATGATGTTATGATCTAGTGAAACCCATCCAGTAGATCAAATATGGATGAACGAAAACATGCAAAACATTAAAACCACCTGCCCACCACTGTGGTTCCCTTTAAGCGACAAAATGAACTAGGTGGGACTTTAACTCTTTAATTTGGATTAATGAAGTTTTAATTTAAAAAATCAACATAATTAATCACTTTTTTAAAAAATAGACAAAGATTTGATTGTTCAGACGTTTCGGTGTAAATACAACCAAAACAAAAGCACCAATCTAATCCTACAACTACGCAGATTTGATGCTATTTTTGTTTACATTTTGTGAAGAAGGAAGTTGTGCTCAGTGTCTCCTTCAATTTTTATTAGTGCAGCGCCCCCACAGGCGAGGAGGGGAACAGTTTGCTTAAATGTTTTGATTTGTTTGGCAGTGCAATGTGAAGGTGAACTGGCAGCAGCTGAAAATGTAACAAATGTTGCAGTTTTGTTGTGTACAAACTAAAAGTTGTGAAAACAAATCACTCAAACTCTAGAGGCAAGAAGATATTCACCTTTTTTCCCTTTTGGGTTTAAATTAGCATAATTTTCCAGTATCTAATTGTCCTCAAACTGTTCATATAGTGAGTCTTTTTTTGGATTGTTTCTAATTTTAGGGAGCACATATGTTCTGTTAATGACATAGAGTAATTATTAACAACAAACAAACAGGCTGAGCCAAGCGAGGAGCCTTAAAGCGTGACTCAACCGCTACTACGCCGGACAGCATGTGCCTCCATGTGCCACACAGAGCAGCAGCCAGACAACACCCATTGGCTGAAAATAGGTCAAAGATTCACATCATCTCTGAATGTGGGAACGCGGCGGATTACTTCCTCTTTCCTCTGATTTACAGCAGATCGCTGTGGCGACGCGGCGCGCAGGCTTCCACAGTTTAAACAGGCTTTACATGCACACAATGGTGGAGGGAAATGTGCCAACATGGTGGAGACGGTGCAACAGATCCAGATCAGTCAGTGTCACTAGAAAGGAAAAGATAGAGCAGAGATGCTGCTTCACTAAGTATTTACACCTTCTGGAGCTTTTGGGCTGATAATTAAAGCTGCACCGATTCGAAATTAATAGCTGGATCAGTTTCTATATATATATATATAAAATGATTTAATTAATAGACAGAAAAGGTTTAAATGTGACTATTGGGTTTAGTTCATACGCTAAGGTTGCTGCACCAGAAATCACTGAATTTACAAAACTAAATATGCTAGAAGAGCGTAAAAAACTAAATCTAAGGCTGTTTCCTCGTCTGGTCCAAAATTGGAACATTTGTTACACTTTCAGCTGGTATTTTTTTTTTTTTTATTTTTTGTACAGTTATGCTTAAATAAAGAACCTTATGTCAGTATAGAGAGAGATTTAAAACAAAAATGTCAACCTGTGAAACCTGTCATTTTAAATACGAAAATGTGCTGCACCTATACTATTTGTGCTGGTCCACCAGTTCAACCAGTGTAAAATCTGGTTGAGAGTCCTGGAATGGCTCAAACTTCCAACCAATTAAACTGGTGTGGCTCAACTGGAAAATCCTCCCAATGTGGTTGAATTTAAGCAGATTGAGTCAAAGTGCCTAAACAAACTTATCATGAACACAACAAAGCATTAGTTCCTCACAAAAACTGCTTTTGCATCAGGTGGCAAATATGTGATAAAGTTATAGATTAATTTAGAACATCTTCAGATACCTGAGCTTCATTAACAGGTTTAAAACTTCATGTGTCTCAAACCTTTTAGTGATTTATTGGCCTCAACGTTATTATTATTATTATAATAACGTTATTATTGACTTAAATTAAACTCCTATAACTTGCTGAAAGCTTTCTTGTAAGTTAGATTTATTTAAAAGTCCACGAAGATATTTGCACAAGAAACTAGACAAAAATACCTTTGGAGTTTTTTTATCAGTGGGTTTTGGTGCAGCGCCACCTCAGGCCAGGAGAGGAACATGTTTTTCTAATTTAGTTAGTTTGGTAAGTTTTCAGTTAGATATCGGAGCGAGACTCAAGTTAAAAAAAAATTATTTGTCTTGTTATAAGTGAAATAATATGCCAGTGGAACAAATACTTAAGGAATAACTTTCTGAAAACAAGTTCTTATATCTTGCTAAAAAACTTATGAGTCAATTTTGTCTTATTTTAAGTGTACAAAGATATTTGCATTCAAAACTAGAGCAAAGAAAAAAACCACTTGTTTTTGTAGCGTATTTGCTCCTCGTTCCAGATTAAAGTGATGTCCAGGCAAATCACAAAAGCTCCACAAAGTTGTTTTCTTAATGTGAACATTTCTGAAATGCTTTGGCTGCACAGAACAAGCTGTCAGAGCTGGCGCGTGAGCGCGGCATAGCCGAGGAGGTTCAGTCTGTAAACGCCGACATGGCTCGAAATACTTTGCATAATTTTGCAAATGCAAGACAGTTGCATGAAAGCCAGGGAACCATAAAAGTGTTTAGAAGTAGGTTACGGCATCGGCTCATGCCCAGTAGAAAATACGATGACAGCGTTTGTGTGAGTAAACCGGAGTGACGCAGTCAGTTTATTCTATGAAACATCATGAGACCACAATAGGAGCTGGACCAGGGTGGTTACTGTTTGCTTTGGGGTTTACGGCCTTGTTGTGTGCAGCACTCGCATAAAAAAAGAACAGAGATTTCCTGTGTGCATAAAACACAAAAGTTTGCATATTTGGAATAAAAACATCTGTTTTATTGTTTGCAAACTTTTTTAAAGGAGCATTTTTACTGACTTTTTCATGGATTTCTTCCACAGTCTTTTTTCACTTCAAGGGGGAGTTCGCTTTTAGCCAACACTGCAAATCACAGAATCTTACCAAGTATTTTTGTGACATGGACAAAATGCCTTGTTCTTAGTAAAATAATATACTGGTCAAAACAAGAACTTTTAAAATCACTATTCATGAATTATTTACTGAAAAATTAGTGTAAACCTCCCTTCATGAGTGGACGCCCTTGTTAGTGATGTCTTATTTTAAAACTAAAACTTTTCTGAAAAAAAAACTAGTTCTGAGTTTGACTTGTTGAAAATTTTTGAGAAAAAACTTTTGTAATTAATCTCAGAAATGTTTGTTTATTTGTTTTCAAAAGTTAAACATTTTTATGATTTTACAATTTGAGTTGAAATTTTTTTTTATTTTAAATTTTGAGCTCAATTTCAGGAAATTTCCAGAAAAATTAGAATTAGATTTTTTTTCTAGAAAAAATAAACTATTTATTTAATTTTTTCTAGAAATATTATGGATATTTCTGAGAGTCAAAAGTAAAAAAAAATAATTATGTTTGAAACTCAAATATTTTTCTTTTTCAAACAGAATTTTCCTCAAAAATTTCTGAGATGTCTCAAAATTTCAGAGTTTTTTTAATTCTGAAAGTTGTCACCTTTTGAAACTCAGAAATGTTTCTGTTTTTCCAGGAAATTTCCGAGTTTATTTTATTTTACTTAGCAAATTTTCTAGAGTTTTTATTTTGGCATAAATATATCCTTCTTTTTCTACCTGTTTCCGTCTACAATGGCCCTGACCCAACTGTCAGTAAAGGCAGCACGGACGTGGGGTTTTACCTGACGTCCCTGAACGTACAGTCCCCGCCCTCCCGGGTGCTTTGACGTCACTGGCGCCCGTCTCCTCACACGCACCGGGGAGTGCAGCAGCGGCCCCCCTCCTACCTCCCTGCCTTCCTCCTCCTCCTCCTCTCCACCCTCTCTGCCAGAGAGCCCCGACGACAGACAGCCATCCAGCCGCTCACCGTCCTGCTCCTCCCGCCGCCGCTGCTGCCGCTGAGCGGAGTGTGGTCTCCTTTTTCCACCTGCGTGGGTTTCTCCACGAGCCGGACAGCGAGTTTTTTTTTTTAAACTATTTTATTTTTTTATTTTTATTAATTTCTAACCTGGTTTGGGGACATTTAATCTGTTTTACTCCTGCTGCCTTTCAAGTGAAATGGAGAAAATGGCCAGACCTCTTCCTTTAAACCCAACTTTCCTGCCGCCGACTCATGGAGTCCTGAAATCCCTGCTGGAAAACCCGCTGAAACTCCCGTTTCACCACGATGAAGGTACGCTGTCTTGAAAGAATGTGCAAAACTTACTGCGCACACAGGTGCACGTAGGGCGGCTTGTTGGCGCACTTCTTTGATGTGACAGATACAGCGGACGAAAAGGACACAGGTCAACCAAATCGCCTCAAAGTGGCGCGTCTTTGCAGTTTGCGATCTTTGTTAAACATTAAACTGTAATCTGATTTGCCTGGAGCGGCAAAGATAGAGAAATCAGAATGTAATTCGGGTTTAATGTTTTTAACTGGCGGATTTGGCGTCAAATTCAGCCTGTAGGTGATTTAAACATGAAGTTATTTTCTCAATGAACAGATAAGGGTCCAGATTTAACCGCGCTGCTGTTGTGTCTGCGCTGTTAATAGCGTAAAGTGCTGTTTATAACATTTAAACGCCTCTGTCTTCAATGGGACTCATTAGAAGTACCGATATCTGCATATAGAGGGCGTGCTCCATGTTGAAGCCTCTCTTAGGACGAGTTCAATGGATGTTAGCTGATATGAATGACGGATAATGTTTACCTTTAAAGGGCCAGGCTGCTCAAATATTAAATTTCTCACGGGTTAGTGAACATTTCCACAGTTCTAATGTTTCTTCCAGTCAGATGACAGAGAGAGATGGGCAGACAAAAAACACCTGCATGTTCATCTCAACACATCAGAATAAAACTGAAAACGTCATTTATTTCAGTATAGTTGGTTTTATGTCAGGTCAAAGGTATGTTTAGGTGATTATGGTTTACACTTAAGGAAGATCGAACATTCAGTTTCTCATGAAAATGTAATATCAGACCAGTAATAAGAATAATAAAGTATTTTTAATACAGAATTGTTTTGCTATGTAGCTGTTGTGGAGGTGAATGACAAAAGAAGCTGCTGTATGCAGGAGTTTTAATGGAAAGTTATATGGCTGTAAAAAGATGCATATGGATAACAACAGACTTCAGTGAATTGTTGATATTCAAGATTTTTGCCACAACCAATTATTGAATCTGCATTGGCACATTGTTTAGTCGGCCTAACCTTTTCTCTTTAATTGGTCTAAGAAACTAAATCTGGGTTTTTATCAACTGGAACGTAAAATATTGGCTTTTTAAAAGAAAATAAAACCAGATTAATGGTGTCAAAGTTGAAAGAGTAAATATGTAATGCAGGATGATTCAGTCCAGATGTAAAAAAAATCTATTTTCTTATTTATCTAGAATAAATGTTTTACTGACATGCAAATATTAGACTTAAAATATAAGCACCCCCTACCATAAATTGTATCCAAAACAGCTTTGTTATTGTCATGAATTTAGTTATTGACATGGGGATAGAAACAATGAATTGACTTACGATTAATTAACAATTAACCTGTTTAATCTCACCAGCAACAATTGTTGCCAGACATTTTTTCTAACTTCTCGAAGGTCTGAAGGAATTGCTTTGACTTTTAGCAGCTAATTGAAGTTTTTAAGTCAAATAATAAAGTGTCTTCTCTAAGCAATTACATTTTCATGTATCTGGTGTGAAAGGTCACATGACCAGACCTCTTTACTTCCTGCCTGTAAGGATGGAGGTAAATCTGTCACAACCCTGCACAAAAGGAAGTCAGTAAAATATAAAGAAAATATTTTGTACATTTGTTCTCTCAAGTGTCTTCTGTTGATATATAAAGAAAATTGTATCCATTCATTCATCTGAATGACTACTACAAGATGGTCTTGTGCTTGGTCTGGTGGAACAGGGGCAACGTCCTCTCACATACTAACATTTTCACCTGATTTTGCCTAATAGATGAAATAATCAAATGAGGTCAAAGGTCACTTGGCACATTGAGACAATAACATCTGCAGGATGTGGCATTAAATTCTTATGTTTCTAAAATATTTCTGAACACTCTGAGCTTGTCATCCTTAAATGGAGCCAAGAAACAAAGATGGCGGCCTTACCAGTAGGAAAAAGAGAAATGCTCCAAACAGAGTCCATGTGGGATGTAAGATGCATTTTCTGCGGTTCTGTTTTGTATTATAAACACTTAAGTTTCACCTTGATGGCGTCGTTCAGCCGAGCTGCATAACGGAGCCGCACCAAATTTATAAACTGAAAACTACTGATGTGCTACCAAGGTGGGGATGATGTGATGACAGAAAAACTGAGAAAAATTATAACAAATTTGTAACACAATGGAAAAAACATGACGCTAAAAAACAAGGTCTGATTTTTGGAGATTGTTGTGAGTTAAAGCGCTTCATGGAGTGAAGTTTTAATATCAAGAGCAACTAATGGCGGTTTCTGTATTAATTTTTTTAATTCTTAATTTTCTATTTTGCCACTTAAAAAGGTTCCTGTGTTAGATTTTAGGAATATAAGTTTAATAATGCGACAAGCATTTTTCTGTTTATTCAGTCAATATTTAATACAGCTGACAGAAAGTAATATTAAAATTTTATGAAGTTTAAATTTGCCCTTCATGTTGTGGAAAGACCATAAGCCGTCTTGAATTGCAAATGGAAATGATTGAGATAGTTTTAATTTCTCATGCAGTTAATTGAGTCATTCTGAAATGCTTACTAATTGGTTTGTTGTTAAATCAGTTGTGGTTTTGTTTTGAGCACAGTCTAATCTGGTCCTGATTAGACTGAAGTGACGTAGATTCCTACTAGATCAGTCCAGGATGAAATCTGATGGGATTTGTTTTCTTCTTTCAGGATTCGGGAAGGATAAGGAGAAAGAGAAAAAGCTGGAAGATGAGAGCAGCACAGCCAGCCACCCCCAGTCGGCTTTCCTCGGGCCCACTCTGTGGGACAAGACCCTGCCGTACGACGGCGACAACTTCCAGCTGGAGTACATGGACCTGGAGGAGTTCCTGTCGGAAAACGGCATCCCAGCCAACACGGCCCAGAGCGAGCAGGCCCCGCAGGCGGCGCAGCCGTCCCAGGCAGCACTGCAACAGGTCTCGCCGCCCAAGCCGCCCACCCCCTCAGTGGTGGACCTCAGCAGCCGCGCCACCACCTCCGTTCACACAGCCATACCGCCTCAGACCTGCCTGCACAGCCCCACCACTGCAGGTAGGAAGCATGCTGAGGCACACCTGGGTCCTCAAATGTCCTCCACATGTTCTTAGATGGTGTCTGTGCATCCTTAAAAAGACTTAAATGTATCTGAAATTTAGGTCTTAAAAGACTTAACTTCATGTATCCGTAGTTAAGCTCTTTAAAAAGTCTTAAATTCTTTTAAATATAAGCTCTTATGAATTCTTAAATCAATGTGTCTAAAGTTAAGTTGTTGAAAAAGTCTTAAATTTCTGGGTGTAAAGATAAGCCTTTAAAAGTCTAAAATGTATGTATCTAAAGATAAGGCCTTAAGAAGTCTTAAATTAATGTAGCTAAAGTTAAGATCTTAAAAAGTCTTAAGGTTGTGTATCTAAACACAAGACTTTATTAATCAAATTTATGTAACTAAAGATAAGGCCTCATAAAATCTGTATTTAAATATAAGGCTTTAAAATGTGTTAAAGTCATTAGAACATTTTAAAGTTGGTTTTAACTGCATTTATCACAGGCCTTAAATTACATCGTGGCAGGATTATTTAGTTTTATCAATCAGGCTGGGTGATCTGAACTTCAGCATCATATTTTGTGGTACTCTTGTGATAATAGTCAAAGTAATGCTAAGAACTGTATTTGTTCCTTTATTTAGATAACAGTTTGACTGTGACTTCATGACATAACCTCACAAACAAAAACACTGCTGTGGAAAAACAGAACCGTCCCCAAACAACTATTTCTGTGGCCTTAGTTTCATTCTAGGTGGCTTTGAAAAGGTCTTGACGTTGCATATCTAAAATTAAGGCCTTAAGATTTAAACTCATTAGAAAAAATATGTTAAAGATTGTTTTGGGAGGGTGATATAGTTTCCTGTATTCATCTTCATTATGTTCTCTGAATTCAGGCGGTTGATGCTGCCATTAAGTAATTAATCATTTAAGCTAGCTAGCTAATTTTTTTCATCAAGGGTAAGGGCAAATTAATGCTTTGTTGCCACTTCTGTTTCCAGGCAGATACAAGATTATGTGCATTTTGTTCAAAAAGGAAAAAAAATCTTGAGTTTGGCACAGTTACGTCCCTGAAGAATCCCCGATGTTTGTAGTTGTTTTGGCCCTCAATACCATTTCAGGTGGCATTAAAAAACTTGCCAAACCCTGTTTCAGGTTGGGATGAAAATGATTCAATCTGTTTGTAATGTTGCAGGCTGATGAAGCTCAGGTCTAAGTATGTTGCAGGGCGGCTCTCATTGAGCTCCGATTGGCTGAAAGAAGCCCCGCCCCCTCATTGTTTTTGTTTACTCCACATTTTTTTGGTTTTGTAAAGCTGTGCCTCAGGCTTGAACTCACCGAACCACATAAACTCACTTCATCCAACTCCACACGGTGGAAACTTTCAGATTCACACGTTTTTGAATCCGTCTGCCGTTTTGGTCACCGCAGAAAACTTCTCGTTAAGGAAGCGGTTACGTAACGAGCTGGCATCCAGGAGACAGCGGCTGCTTTTCCTGCCTGATCCTGGGAGCGGTTCCCTTCCAGAATCTGACCGGCTGCTGGCAGCGGATCAGATCATGGAAGATAAACAGATGGAGACCTTGAGTTTGTTGACCTGAAGGGGCGGGGTCCCAGCCAGGGCTCTCACTGACCCAGTGAGTCAGATGTTTTCAGGTTTATCAAACGATAACGGACCGGTCTGATTCCAGCTGCTGAGTCTGGATCAGATGGAGATGTTTGCTGCTGGAGATCCGTCTCCTCCCAAACATTTCCTCGGTCAGGAAGGAAGAACACGGCTGGAGGTTCTGTAAACAGGTCTGACCTCGTCTTTAATGTGCTGAATGCATTGCCAGGGAGGGGGATTATTCCACATTTTGTTCAATAAAATCTCAGTCAAAACTCATCTAAAATAAAGTATCAAACTGCAGAAATGAGAACAAACGCAGGGGAAATTAAATTAGTTTGATTTTACTCTTAAAACAATTTTACTGCTTCCTTTTCTCAGGAAATTTATCAGATTGTGAAAAACACTTAATAAAAATTTATATTTGCATGTTTTTACTCACGTTTCTTAATGTGTGTTTATGTTACAATTTAAATTGATGGAATATTTAAAGATTTAGTTTGGTTTCATTTTACATTATCAGAAAAATTATTGATAATGGTAATAAGTCCAACAATAAGGACAAAAGAATAAATCCTGGATTGAATAAATATCAATAGTAGGAATAAACAATAAATGAATGCATTATAATATAAGTTAATGTGCTTCGTTTAATACGCCACTGCTAAATTTGTTCTGCCCATTTACTGCACAAAATATTATCACTGATTTTTGGAAATTAGGTAAATATTTTTATTATTCACATTTTAATTCATTTAAAATGTGGCATGACTGAAACATTTATTTATAATGTGACTTAATTACTAAAACAAAACAAAAAATAAAAAATTCTGTGATTTATTGAAATAATTATGGCCAGTTTGGTCCTCCATATGTTCTTTAACAGACCTGCAGTCAGACTAGCTCCATATTTTCAGGCTGCAGCTCAGATGTTAGAGAAACTCCTGCTCGTTCGACACTCATGTGTCCGGGTTCTGTTTGGGTTCTGTTTGGGTCCATCCTGGCTTCTCACGTGAAGCCAGGATGGGGTTTCCTCTGGCGTGCGGCACCATGTGACGGGCGCATGCAGGCAGCCGTGTGCAACGCCGAGCTGCAAACCGGAGCCCCCTCCTTTTCTTTTCTCACCCCCCGACCCACCCTCTCTGCTTCCTGCCCAAACCCCCCCGCTCTCCCCCTCTGGGACCGGCCCAGGCTCAGAGCACACGCTGTACCCTGCAGAGGTCACATGGACTCAGGCGTGCTCTGGTCACGTGCGCGCCGCGCTCCAGCTCAGCGAGCCTGGTCTCGTCTAACCAGCTCCGCGGCCTCCGGCGCAGCGCCGCAGGGCCTGCAGCCTGTGGCGCTCGTCCTGCTGAGGCAGATAACATCCTGGGTGTGCCCCCGCTACGGCCTTCGCAGGTCCAAGGTCGCGTCCAGGACATTGACCGTGCAGCGGCCGGAGGGGGAATCAGGTTTCATCTAGTTTCTGACACCAGTCGGATCAGAACCAACAGATATTTCTTCGGTTGGCTTCCATCAGGAAAAACTAAAGAAAATGGTTTTGTTTTTTTAAGCTTTAACAGCAGTTTCTTTGTTGTACTTTATTTACGTTGAGTAAAATTCAGATAACCTGTTTTTTGATGAATATAAGGTTTTTCACACACATTTAAAACATAATTATCAGAAAATAAGTTAATTCTCACACAGTTAATCATTATTTTTTCTAAAAAAATTAATTTTAATTTATAGCAAAATATAAAGTGACTATATTTTTGTTTACATTTAACTATTACATTATTTGCTATTATCAATAAAATAGGGTAAAATAATGATAAAAGGTACCACAAATATAAAAAAATAAAACCTCCTTTATAAATTTTTTAAATATTTCTGCAGAATGTTCACAAGTTGCACAATCCGCCTCATTCATCTGCTAAACATTAAACCAGTGGAAACTGCAGAACATGCAAATTTCAGTTTTAATCAGTTTAAAATCATTTATTTTAAATTTTCACAAATTAACCAGCAGAGTGCTGGGAAACCAGCCGGCTTGTCGGTGCGCTGCTGTTCTGACTCTGCTATATTTATCATCTGAGGCTCAACGTTGCAGCTGGAAGGGTTTTTCAGGTGAAATAAAATTGTCGTGACCCGAAATGATCTTCCTCTGAGAGTATTTACAGTAAAGAGAGTAAAGAGAGATTAGACATCCAAACTCAAACTCAGAGTTCAGCAGTTCACGGAGACGTCTGGTCGTCATGGCGACAGCGCCCATAAAATCATAAAAAGCCCGATATGATCACTGAGCGTGACGTCAAGCTGGATCCAGATGATAATCTGTAAAATCAATAAATGTATCCACAGTGCAATAAAAAAAAAACTTTGTTGAATGTGGTTTATAGGTTTCCATGGAAATGCAGTCGGGTTAATGATTAATCTCAGTTCGTTCCTCTTCTCGGATCTGGTCAGAACCGGGTCGCAGAGTTTAGACGTTCCAGTTCGGACCGCTTGTGCCTCGGCTTCCTGCGCTCGCCTCGCAGAGGTCAGGTCGCACTATTTGTGTCGCCGCTTAAAGACGGATTATGTTTAATCTGGTCTCTGGTTTAAAAATGAAAGAACAGATGAGAAACAAAATCTGAGACTATCAGTCTGAGACTATCAGTCTGAGACGGCAGAGAAACACACTGAGAACTTGATCTGAAACGATTAATCACGATTAATCGGTTATTCAAAGAATCATCGCAGTCACAAAAACATCTTACCAAGTATTTTTGTCCAGTTCCTAGTGGAAATCTGAAATAAGTTCAAACTAGTAACTTTTCCAAACAAAATATAGGAATTTGTTTAAAGGCAATAATTTCTTAATATTGGTGAAAAACAATAAATAATCTGCTGGTTCCCCTGGCAGATTATTTCATTGTTAGCATTAAATAAATCAACATTAAGTAATTATTCACTCAAAATGTATTTTTGTTTTGCCTTATATAAAGAGTACAGAGATATTTCCACTAGAAACTACATCAAAGATACTTGGTAGGATTTTGTGTTTTTGGCAGGAAAGTCTCCCATACGTCTGAATCAGAACCATTCAACAGAATACCTGATGGTCGATGTCAGAGAGCTTTGGACGGTTTAGATCCGTGTGTTCCTGCAGCGCTGCAGACCAGGTCAGCGGCTCCGACCTCGTTAATGTGGGTCATGATGTTCGAGCCGCCAGCGGATCAGCGGCCGATGAAAATGCACGTAGCGCCTGTTCGGGACAGGAAGTCAGGAGTTTCTTAGCTCCTGAAACAGTCACACAGCAGGCGAAACCAGATTTTTCCCTGCAGTCTGAACGGACCAATTCCGATCTTTTCCCCTCCTGAATCTTCCATATTTGAAACTACATTGTATCCGATTGTCTCCAAACTTGTCTGAACGTTCATTTTGCGTTTTGTCCGACTTTTACACCATTGATATGAGAAATGAGTCATAATTTGGCACCAGAAGAAGCCAGACGTTGGAATCACGACAGAAACAATGGCTGAAAATTATGATTAATAAATTATAAAAGAAGTCTGTCAGTTTCACAACTCTTCAGACTACACATCCAAACAGACAGAGACTGTCAACATTTACTATTAGTTCTGGTTTCTTTTTATTAGCTTTCTGTCTTATGATCTACACCGAATAGAATATTATTATTATAACCATGAAATTTGGGTACAATTATTCAGATAAAAATAAGAGCTACAAAACTTCCCTCTCCCACTAGGCTCCTTCAGACTAGCCAGCAGCAATTAGCAAACAGCTGATTGAACTGCACATCTGATAAAAACAAGTTTCAGAAAGAGCAGGAGTTTTTAAAGAGACAGACGTTAAATTACAATGTCAACGTCTTTTTAAGTCCTCTTTGATTATATATGATTTGATTGTGCTGTGAACAGGAAAACACAAAACTGCCCCTCTAAAGCCTCCACTGTGTCTGAATTGGATCTCCCACCTCTGAATAAATGTTCAAATTGATTAATAAACATAATGTATTACTGTTTCTGTAAACGTTGTGCTGCTCTGTGACGCCTGCGTTCTTCTTCTGTGCTCTCTGGTCGCTTTGAGGACATGAAGCGTTCATGCGGTCGGGTTTAATTAGTTGCAAAAGAATAACAGATTTCAGCAGAAAATCAGAACCTGCTGCTTTTACTGTTGGTCAAGTGTTTGTGTAACCGTTGTGTGGCAGCACCACCCGCTGGATGGTGGAGGTATTACCGCCTCAAGCAGAACTAGAAGCTTCACAGAGAATAGACATGGCCTCCCGGTTCTGATGTTCTGTTTGTGTCCTCTGTCCGGTCTGCAGCCAGAGACACACCCAGCCCCATCGACCCGGAGTCCATCCAGGTCCCGGTGACGTACGAGCCGGACCCGGCCGACCTGGCGCTGTCCAGCGTTCCGGGTCAGGAGATGTTCGACCCCAGGAAGCGCAAATTCTCCGCTGAGGAGCTGAAGCCGCAGCCCATGATCAAGAAAGCCCGGAAGGTTTTCATCCCCGAGGACCTGAAGGTGAGGAAGAGTCTCAGACCGGAACCAGAACCTAGAACCAGAACCCAGAACCAGAACCCATCACAATGACATGGGAAATAAAATTTTTCTTTTTTCATTTAGGCAGATTATTTAGATTTTAGGTATGAAATATTAACTTAAAACTATTTCCTTCTTTCTTTCTTTGTCATTCCTTCCTCTCTTTCTTCCTCTCCTATTTTCTTTAGTCAGTCAGAAACAGCTGATCTTTTCAGATGTTTATGCAGATGCATGTTTTGCTACAAATGATCAGGCATTCACTAAAGCAGTGCTGTTATTGCATTTCAGGCAATACAAAGAAAATTTTCTTATTTAAAAATTAATTGAACTTTTTTGTTTGTTTTTGTTTTAAATGTATTTCTAATATTGTATAAATTAAACTTAAGTAGTTAAATGAAAGATCAGCAGAATGTTTCAGCCTTCACTTAATCGTTAGTGGCAGGATTCACCTTCGAAATAAAAGCATCATTAATTTTTTGTATTTCATTGCCATGTTGTTTTGCTCACTGAGCCCTCTACTGCCCCCTGCAGGATGATAAGTACTGGGCGCGACGCAGAAAGAACAACGTGGCGGCGAAGCGCTCGCGGGACGCGCGCCGCCTCAAGGAGAACCAGATCGCCATCCGGGCCGGCTTCCTGGAGAAGGAGAACGCCGCGCTGCGCGTCGAGGTGGCCGACTTGAGGAAGGAGCTGGGCCGCTGCAAGAACATTCTGGCTAAATACGAGGCGCGACACGGGCCGCTGTGAGCCTCTCCTGGGCCAACCTCTGCTCCCAGAACCTCCAGTTTGCCCTCCTGTTTGAAGGACAATGTCTCTAATGGCAGCAGCCCCACCTGTATGATTCTGGTATTTTATTAAGCTTCATCTCGTCTGCTCCTCCTTTGATTTCTCTACACGGTTTGACGAAATAGATATAAATATATTTACATGTGCGTACTTCCCACTGTGAGGAGTTCGAGCCTGCCTCTTTCTCTACATCAGATCAGGACTAAAATCCTCTTTATTTTGTCGTTTGTAGCCACTTATGTTAGTATTTCCTGTCCAGTCCAGGAACATTTTGCTCTCTGTTGTTATTATTATGTTTTAATTTCTTGAGCAATAATTTTAAATATGTCTCCACCTCCTGCTCCAGTTCGTTAACTTCTGCACTAACTAGCGTCTCACAATCGGATCCGGTTCAAGAAAATTCCTCCTATTTATCTCCCTTTTATTTCTCAGATGGAAGATTGTTGTTTTTATATCTATAAATAAGTATATATATATATATTCTGTTGATATAATTGTTAGTATTATTACTGCTCTGAAAGCTGTGGTTGTTTAGCCTCCTCCTCTTCAGGTTGAAGCATGATTTCTCTGTTTTTTGGACTAGTTGTTGATTCCTTGGATTCTTTGGCATGACTAGTTCTTGCTTTATTTCTTTCTTTTAGGACTCGGTGCAGATGTCCTGTCGGTGGCGTCTGTTCACCGACTTTTTAAAGATGGTTGTATGAATGTAAAAGAGAAAAAGGTTGGATGGTGTTGTCCAATACTGTGGTTCACCCAGTCAGTTTGTTTCCTGCAGACCAAACCAGAGATGTTTCTATAAATCTATACGTTGTTCCTTTTTGTACAGTATTTTTCCAATATATATACACACATATATATATAGAATTGGTGAATTGTGTATTTTAAAGGCACAACAAGTCCAGAGAAATATAAAAATTGTGTTTAATAAAATAAATGAATAAATAAAGAGGTATTTTGATATTCTATTTGAGGGAATGAGAAGGAAACCAAAATATTGGGGGCATTGTAATTATATATGATTTCAACAGTCCTTAATGTGCTTAATGTTCTCAAAAACATGGGATGGCGTTACTATGACGGCAGGGAAACTATAGCTGGTTCTTCCTGCTGCTCTGCGATTGTTTTCTGCAGTCGTAGCGAATCCCTGAACCCGAGTGATGAACCTTGCAAAACTTTTTTTTGTCGTCTCTCCTGTTTTCTTTTTACTGCAGAGTCTTTAGATTGAAGCTGGATTTATGAGTCATGCTTTAGACCTCAGTCTATGATGTGGATATGCTATTTCACAAGGCAGATCATGGCATGTCCATATCTAAATGGCAGGTCCCAAAATGATTGCAAATATTTGCATAAAATCTTCTTTAGGATTTTCATGCAAAAACATGCCGTTTGTTCTAATTGTGCAAAACGTAACCCGTTCCAGAAAGGTTTACCTCAAACGTCGTCTCACTGTAGGAGAAGAGGCCACTAATGCCAGATGTTGCATAACCTACACCAAATCCAAAGATTGTTTTGGACGCGATCGTCCTCAATCAACATCACAAATTTGCACACTAATTATTTTATCCAAATAAACCAGCTCTACTTAATGACCCCTGGTTAATGGCAAAAACTATTTTTTAAATATTTTTACCATAGGAGCTTTTTAAATTCAGTTTTGAAAAGATTGCATTATATTTTGTTAAAAGGCTCATGAAATATTACATCAAATTTTAACCATCTTGGAAGCATCATCGTTTTTAATGACAAAATTAGATATTCTGCAAATGTTTAAATTGGCAGTTTCCACTCCTGCCATAAATTCTTCATTAAGTTAAAGCAGTGCTTCTCAAATAGTGGGGCGGGCCCCCTTTGGGGGGCGCGGTGCGATACCTGGGGGGGCGTGTGATCCTGGGGAACAGGCTTTTTTTTGGCCGTACTAGTAGAAAGTGTAATTGCGCACAGTAGGCGGCAGTGGCGCTCTCATTGTTACTTCTGTCACGTTTGCGACAGTGCAACATTTTATGACTTACAAGACAACAGGTTTGCCTTGGTTAGCAGTGTTAAGTCAACAAAAAGCTCAGACTGCGTTCTGTCTCTGGCCTCCGTTATTCAACAACCCCCAACATGAAAAAGTTTTCACAGGGATGAAAAGAAAAGCGGAGAGAGACAAAGATAATGAGACAACAGAAAGTCAACCGAAAGCTAAGAAGAGGAAATACGACGAAGCGTATTTAGCGCTTGGCTTCACTGTGACTACAGTTGGAGAAGAGGAAAGACCGGTGTGTTTGCTGTGTCCAAAAATGCTCGCAGCGGACAGCATGAAGCCAAATAAATTAGCGCGTCACTTAAATATGTTACATCCCAATCACGCCGATAAGCCGCTAGAGTTTTTTCAGCGAAAAAAATTTTAATAAGGAAAAAATGTTATGCAGAGATGGATAGTCACGGTGCGGAATGGGGGGCGCGAATAGTTTTCTTCTTGCTAGGGGGGCGTAACGGAAAATAATTGAGAAGCACTGAGTTAAAGCAACGCAACATCCTTCTTGAACACTAGAAGGCAGAAGCTGTGTAAAAATTGAACAAAATAACACATTTAATATTTTTTAGTTCACCAAGCTCATTAATTCCAGTAAGTTCTTGGCATCTCAGGACTTCCATATTTGTCTCCTGAGGTCATGCTCATTTGGATCTTCTGTATTTGATTCATTCAAAGATTAGTAAAGCAAAATAAAATAAGTTCTGGAACCTCCACCCCAGTAAAACAAAACTCTCACATTCCACTGAGACTTTTCGAAACGTCATCGATCTGCTCCACTGTTGTGAGCGATATTAGGCGGCCATTTTGTTACCCAGAGTTTTTATCACTTTTGAGGCTCCAAAGCTTCCAGGGCGTCTTTGTTTTTTATTAGAATAAAGCAGGAAAAAGACAGTAATGAATCTGTGAAATCCCAAACGTACCTCATGTGTGGAGTGATCTCTCTACCTCACCTGGAATCATTAACCATAATAATCGTGAGTTTGTTCCAGTGCCTTTAACTCACCGACTGTTTCCCAGTGTTTTGGTCCCATACAACGCCGCCCTGATGGCTGCAAATTGGCGCCGGAAGATTTCCTGAACCTTCGTTTCATTTCAAATATTGCAGCAGATTTGTAACCATTGTATTCATGGCAACACCAACAGATTGTTTCAGAGTGTTTAAAGTGCAGCATAAAGGAGTATTACGTGTTGTTCAGGTCTCTGCCTTTCTATCTGTAATTTCTAGTGTCTAATAAAAATACCACTTATTTTCCCATGTGTTTTCATTCTCTGCACACAGATGCATGTCAAAATATTAGAATATTGTGAAAAAGTTTAATATTTCTAAATTTTGCTAGAAATATCTGGTATTTCTAGCAGCTTGGATGTGATATAGATTTATCACACAGTAAAATATTTAATCCTCTTATGTGTTGTAATCTTTAAAATTGTGGAAATGATGAAAACTCAAAAGAAAATTAAAATATTACATTTGATTAATTAAAAAAAATGGATATTTTAAGCAGAGATAGTTTTTCAAAAGGTATTCCCATTTCTATGCGCTAAATATTTGGTCTGGGCTCCTTTTGGATGAAACTGCATCAATGTGGCGTAGCATGGAGGAAATCGCCCGGTGGTTCTGCAGAGGTTCTGGAAGTCCGGGTTGAACTGATGACAGCCTTCAGATTATTTCCATTGTTAGTTCTGGTGTTTCTAATCTTTGAGTTTTAACTTCAGTTGTGTTATTTCAGCTTTTCCGATGTTCATCAGCTGCTCCCTATTGTAAAGCAGATATTAAAATTAAAATCCAAATGTACTATTTAGTCAATTAAATTGGCTACAGCGAAGTCAGCTTTTCAGTAAAAGTCCAGATAAAAGTAGTTATGCATATATAAGTTTAGTTGTAAAAAAGATGTTTTGTGTTATATTTTCCACTGTAATAAAATTATGTCAGTAATAATTTCACCCTTATTAAAATGTATCATTCTTGTACTGCAGTTTACTGAAAGCAAAATGAACCGAGTCAAGACACCAAGCTGCAGATATTGTCTTTATTGTCGCGTTACCAAGGTGATGTTCAGTACAGTGGAGCGTTCAGATTTTACAAAGAACCATCACCAGCCAGTGAAAGAGAAACCAGAAGCAATTATTCTCTGCAAAAAGGCCAGCAGCATCAGAATCAACATAGAAAACAGACTGAATCACAAGAGAAGAGTCATGATTATTAAACATGAACTGGGAGTTGGTTTCAGACGTCGCTTGGAAGGAAAACAAAACAGGAAGCAAACGTACAAAAAAATAATTATAGTCCACATGATATGAAACACTGTTTAACATCGGTGTGTAAAAATCACAAGACATACAACAGGAAATGTTACACAACACAACAGCTCACATACACACACACACAATATTCACATTTTATTTAAAAAAAATAAATAAAACTGCTTTTAATTGGGAGTCTCCTCATTTGGCTCATTAACACCCCAGCTCTCCTGTTTCTCCTCTACATGATAAAATACTGAGGAATGCTACCCCGCTGCCACCAGAGGGCGCCAACAACTTCCAACAGAAACAGAGCGAGCATGCGCTAAACAAATATTAATAGAAGAAATCATGATTTATATAGTTTTGGTTCAGATATGTGAATAACTCTACCTTAAAACATTCTTAACCATTTTTTTTTAAACGTTGAAGTTTTTGTTATGCTGCCTTCATTTGGAGCTTTGGTTTCTTTCAGTAGAAATAATAAGAGCTGCTGATTTTTAGCACCTTGCTCTATTTTCTCCGGATGAATCAGATCGACCCTTAAAGAGGAATGTGACTCGCATTGAGTGGTTTTAAAAACACGCTATCAAACGTTGCAAATACCAGAGCTCTGGAGATTTCTTCTCTTACAAAAACACTTGATTTCATCAGAGGACGGTGACAACCTGCTTTCCTCCTGGTTACAAAACAGTAAACAAGTTAAGGTCGTTGTCGTAAACTTTTACTGTTGCAGCTTGGTTGGGCAGTGGGGGGCGGCTGGGCAGTCAGGACTGGAGGAGGGATTCGGAGCTGGGCGTGTTGTACAGGTACTTCCAGATGGCGTAGTAATGCACGGCGGCAGCCAGAGCCACAAACACGTGCCAGATGGCGTGAGCGAAGGGGATGACGCCGTCGCTCTTGAAGAAGAACACGCCGAGGCAGTAGATGAGTCCACCACACGCCAGCTCCTGCAGGCCGTCCGTGTTGCTCTGGAAAAACAACAACAGAGAAGCTGCACTGAAACTCAAAGACACAATATTCTTTATAACCACAAGAGGGCAGCAGAGAGGAAAACGCAAATACACTTAAACCTACATTAAATTCTGATTAGAGGAAAAACTAACTTGTTAATTTAGGTTTTACCCAGAGGTGGGCAGAGTATCCAAAAATTATACAAGAGTAACAAAAAAAAAACAAAAACAAAAAAAAAAAAAAAAAAAACATGAGTAAAAAAATATTTGATAAAAAATATAAAGTTAAGGGGCATTTTAAGGTCAAAATATAAAATCAGGCCAAAGAAAAATGTCAAAATAAGTTTCTTTAAATAAAAAATTTATGAAACTTTGACAAAAACCTGCAGGTGTGTGTCTGTCTGGGTAACTTGGGGGTAAAGCATGTTTTATTTTTCATTCAGCTGGTAGAGAATCCAGACATTTTACTCAAGTAAAATAAAAATTGAACCGCAGTAAAACTATATTTTTCTTTCCAAAAAGTAAATGTAACGAGTTACTACCCAACTCTGGTTAACGCAGTTAATTGCATTTTTAGTTTTTTAACAAACAAATGTTCCAGATACTCAAAAGTTTCTGGTTCGCCTGTAAATCTGATGCTCAAGCAACATCCACCAAATGGATGGAGTTTTTTGAAAGGAAAGTTTGCTTATTTTGTCTAGAAAGTTTAATTATTTACAGACCTTAACATAATCTGGTAAAATGGTAGAATCTTCTTACCATTGATGTCACAACTGATGCAGGAAAAAATCCCATCGTCAAGTAGAAGGCCAACTCCACCAGTTTGTACCTGAGGAGACAGACATGCGCTGGATGAGGCCCACGCGCCTCGGGTTGGACACCCACCGCTAACAGAAACTCACTTTTCATGATAGTTGAAGACATAAATGGTCCCAGCAGCAGCCATGAGCCACACAAACCAGCGCATGTGAGCCGCTAACGGTCCGAGCTCCCGCAGGTTCAACCTGAACCGAGACAAGAACAGAACCGACCCAGAGTGAGGCTTCGCTTTCAGCAGAACTCGCAGCTGTGTGTGAGTTCTGCTCTCAGCCGGACGCTCACCAAGGTGTGTAAGAGGCAGCGATGAAGAAGTAGATGACGACTCGGTCACACATGTGGAAGCACTGCTCCACTGACCTGTAACACAGAGACACTGGTTAAACTGGTTCCAGGAAGAGATGCTGGGTCAGACCAGAACCCTGAAATAGTTCAGGAAGAATTACTTCATTATGAAACATCTATAATGGAGGCTTGGTTGTGAGGAAATGAATGCAAACCCTCTCACCTCATGTGGCTCTTCTTCCAGGTGATGATGTGAAACACGGTGGAGACCACAAAGAGGGCGCACAGGCCCAGTCCGTACACCCAGGCCGTGATCCGCTCCCAGTTGTTGTCGGACAAGCAGTGCAACAGCGTCATTCCCACGAAGGCCGGCACGATGAGGAGCTGCGGAGACGAGAGCAAACGAGCGGCAGTCAGCGGACATTCCCAGACCGGAGCGGGTCGGCGGCGTTCAGAGACCGGACTCACTGCGTGAGTGTAGCAGTTGGCAGCATGTTCGTAAACGGTGGGCTGGTAGCGGCAGTTAGCAGAAGCCCGTCGGTTCATGAATCTGAAACCAGAAAAGTGAAACTTTTGAGTCAAAAAGACTCAAAAGAAAAAACAGGCTGAAATATAAAACCAAATTTGTGTTTTTGTGTCACAGTAACCGACGCAGTAATTTCCGTTTGCATGATTTATCTTTTCTCTTTCTACCAGAAAAAATAAAACTAAAGGCTTCAGTCTTTTGGTTTCAACTATTTCATTTTTGAAGAAAAGTTTTACTTCATCATTCCATTTGTTGTTTCTGTTGTTTTTCTTATTTATTTTATGCATTTAAAATGTCTTCTGGTGTATCCCAGTGTTAAAATTTTTTTTAAGTTTATTGAACTTTGAGAATTGCATTACTGTGTAATTACCATCATATTACTTGAAAATGGTCTCAAAACAACAATATTTACTTTGTCTTAATAACTTCTGGATACTGTGACAGGCCTGCTCTGGTATCCAGAAGTTATTGACACAACATCACCTCCAAATATTCAAAGGAAGCTAAATATATGGGCCTGGCACAATAACAAATTCTGATAGATGATTAATTGTCCCAGACGTTATTGCAATAATCAATAATATTGTTGGTTTGAAATCACTTTCAAACATTAAATTCTAAAGAACATTTAACACTGGAAGATATTTTAAATATCCAAAATAAAAAACAAAACAAAAATAAAACCAATTATGAAGTCTCTAAAAAAATAACAACCAAACTGTCCTTCAAAAACAGGGCTAGTTGAAACCAAAACACCAGAGTGAAGACTTCTGTTTCTAGCTATTGGCAGAACGAGAAAAACAAGAAAAATGATAAATCCTGCAAACGGAAACTACTGAGCTCATTTTACTACAACATGTGATTAATTAATTTATTGCTTATTGCAACAGGCCTATGAATACGTTGGCTCTGAGCTGATCCCTGACGCAATCATAGCTTCATCCAACCTGTTTGTCCAAACCTACAAACAGGCAGTCACACCATAACTGATTGCAGTAATATGTGTTGCTTAATGCAGTTCACCATTATCTGAACAGGTGTATGATAAAATGAACAGTTCTGTTGTTTTTCTTATTTATTTTGTACTTTTAAAATGTTTTCTGGTGTATTACATCTGTAGTATGCATATTACAGGTGTTAGAATACATCTGTAGTATACATACTAACATCTGCATACTACAGATGCACTTAAGCATATTCACATGGTAACAATATAATGTTTTAAATTCCTCTATGCAATAAAAAATGAAATCAGAATCACTTGATTGCAAAACCATTTATGTATTAAAAAGTGTATTATTTGGCCAAAGCAGAAGTATATAAAACCAATTATGAAATCAAAATTAAGACCATTGAAGACTCAACCAATCCACTGCTAACGAAAAGGAGAAAGAAAGCCAACAATCCAACAATTTATATTTACTAATATAAATAGTGATTATCACCAATTTTATGTAGAAAGGCAGAAACCGGAAGTGAACCCTCCACCTCTTATGGAGAAAATCTGATTTTCATAGATCAACAGGCATCCAGGAAGTCTATCAAATCTATGGATTGGTTTTATCCTAAATGTAGCCTTATATTAGTAAATTGTTAAAACTTTGCATTTCTGGAAATTCTCATATAATTTACATGAACTTTATTTACACCAAAAATTTCATTTTTATGATCTAAAAAGAGCCAAAACTGCTTTCACTTACCTGTGAAAACTATAAACACCCTGCATATCTGCTCCTCTTATATTCCACAGATGAAAACAACAAAGGCCTGGTGTATTTGAGGAGGAATAAAACAATAAACCTGTCCGAGGAGCCACACAAACCGAAAGGGCTAGCATCCAGCTAGCGGACTACAAGCTAAACAAACCGAAAGGCCTAGCATCCAGCTAGCGGGCTACAAGCTAATTGTAGCTACAAGGCACCGGCGGCGCCACCCCGCCCACTGCTAACGCTCCATTTTAGCCTTTTCCTCAACACCATGATGATGGAAACCCCGAATCAACGCCTCATCTGGAAGATGGAAATGTCCATGAGCACCAGCGTCTCACAGGTGGAAGCCCAGAGCGCCCCGAAAACCGAGCTGCCGCTGTCCACACAGTAAAATAAAAACCGAATCCCGTTGAGCTCCACCGGTGTTCAGTTAGTTGATTGGCGGTGGGCTGAGCCAATCAGGAACGACGCTTCTGCAACACGGGCCAATCAGATTTGAGGAAGACGGTAACATCATCAATATTAACGTTCATAAATTGTTTATACACCTGACCCAAAGGTATTATAGTTCAACAAATAATTTATCAGTCAAATTAATATTTAAACGTAAAATAAAACTACTGTAAATTTATAAATAAAAAACGACAGATATGTTTTATAATTGTCAATTATGTATTAGATACACAATAAAATGAAACATGCTTTATTAAATAACTAAATAGATTAACATCTATCTATCTATCTATCTATCTATCTATCTATCTATCTATCTATCTATCTATCTATCTATCTATCTATCTATCTATCTATCTATCTATCTATCTATCTATCTATCTATCTATCTATCTATCTATCTATCTATCTATCTATCTATCTATCTATCTATCTATCTATCTATCTATCTATCTATCTATCTATCTATCTATCTATCTATCTATCTATCTATCTATCTATCTATCTATCTATCTATCTATCTATCTATCTATCTATCTATCTATCTATCTATCTATCTATCTATCTATCTATCTATCTATCTATCTATCTATCTAAAGAAACATGACACATAGACTATCATTTAAAGTCTTATTATAAGACAGATGACTTTGTTGTTGTATTTTTATTTGTTTTGTTTTGTGCTAAACCTTCAGGGAGATTTTGTGCCATGAATCCAGACAGTGAGTTGCACACACTGCATGTCGAGCTGCTAAAGCCCGGTTACATAACAGCACTGTGACTCGTTTAGTGCTGTTTAGATGTAAAGGAGTGTTTATGTAAGAACACAGAGGCTTAGTAAAGTTCACTCTGTACTCGACCTCAAAAATAAACCTCTCTGGTGTTTCTGCCTCTTTTCTGGGAATATTTCTAATCAGCAGCTACATTTCAAATGTTTGTGCATTCTCTGGTTTTGCTCACAGCTCTACAGACGTCGCAGTGCTGCAGCTTGGCAGTCGCTCATCATGGCTTCCAGGACTGGATGTAACTGATCTGAGTGTTTGTCTGACTTCCACTAATCACTTTCTCAGGTGGGTGGAGGATGAGGTTTCTGTGCCGTTTAACCTCCTCTCACCGGAGACGCTGCGTCGGATTACACGTGGAATTTCCACCTGGTCAAACGATCTTTACTTCTAAACAAAAAACTGCATGCAAAACTAATGGGCTGGGTTTTATTTAGTATTGCCGTGTTTCATTCTTATTTTTGTGTTGTCGTTCTCCAACTCTACCCCAAAACAAATATAATATGCTCTCAATATAATATTTTCTATTTTTCAAACAAATCATGTTATTAAAGAATTTTGTAGACAGCTGTAAACCTTTTCCAAATTCTGTCCAAAGTTTGAAAAAATAATTAAAAGAAAGAAAACAAAACACCTATAAGTCAGAAGTTTGATTTTATATGAAACTTAAGTATGATAAATACTCAAGTATGAAATATTGCACACTGCTGGTAAAAGTTTATTCTAAGTAAATCAAAAACTGTATTCAGAATAATAATAATAATAAAATGTAATTATAATACAGTCTACATATAAAGCTCAAAGTGCTACTGCATTAAAACAAAAACCTTAACCAATGTGAAAACAATAAAAACTCATTTAAAATATTGACTGTAAGATATTAAGTAAAAGAATATTAAAGCAGTGATTAAGTTTACGTTTCAAATCTACAAATTGTGCAATAATGAACCTTAAATTTTATTATTTATTAATTTGTTTTTATTTGTCTACTTTCTAAAAGATTCCTATCCTGCAAAATAATTGATATGCAGACAAGCGGTAGATATGTCAATGTTTCTGACCAGGGAGCTTTTAAAAAATTAGATTTAAGATAAAATATCACATGAATGAGTAAAGCTTGGTCACATGTTCTATTACTGTAAAGTAAGTTTTTTTTTCTGTCAATTTTTTAAAAAAAGTTTTCCAAACACAATACTGAAAAAAAGAGACATTTTTCTTTGTTGAATGCAAAACGAATTACTTTCAAATTTATTTAGATCAAATATTTTCCACCTTTTCTCAGCATGAATGATAAAATCTGGATCTAAAAAGACCAACATCAATTCTTCTCTGGTGAAGTTGAGTCCAACTCTTTAACTTTTAATTTCAAGTCTTACACAAGCATTTTGACCAAATATTTTATTTAATCACAAAGTAATAATTAATCATTTCTGTATTTCTAAAATATTATTAAAAGACAATTTTACAGATTCTGTTACTTTTTAAAGTATTAACAGAAGTAAACAAATCAACCAATAAATTGAGAAAATGACAAGAAAACTGATCAATAATAAATAGAATAGCATGTTACAACATTACATGAGTAAAATCATATCATGAAGAAAAACTAATTGAATTGTTCAGTTGTATGGAATCAATGATTCAGAGAATTGCTGTGATAATCAGAGGAAATCAATTAGCTGGTAATGTTAGCAGATACTAGAGCAGACCCTCTGATTTAAAAGCTAATCTGTAAATGTTTGAATATTTATATCTAAATTAATTATTCAAATATTTAATTTAGATATTTATTTAGTAGAACTACTTCCACTTTCAAATTTCATGATCAAATTAGTGGGCAAAACAACCCAAACGTACATTTTAAGCTAACATTAGCCACACAGCGCCTTTATGAGCTTCGACTCATCATTATTTGTGTAAGATTAAATCTTTTCTACTCTGGTTTACAGCGTTCATGTTTTTAATCCCTGATTGCTTAATGGACGCAGGATCATATCTGACTCCATCGTCTCTCTGATCAGGTTTCTGAACATACAGCAGGCAAAAGCAAACATGGTGGATTAGCATTAGTTGTTTCTTTGCCACAACTTTGCTTTGTTTTGCAGCAACTAATGGTGTTACTTAGGTGTTACCTGGATATGGAGCTGTTAGCATGTCATGTTAGTTATGAGACCATCATATAACAACAGTCTGCAGTCAGAGGCCTCTTCAGGGTGGTTGCAGGACTGACTGCTACTGGAGATATTTCCTCCAAATCCACAATGATTCTTTAATTGCTTTTCTCTGTATCTTGAGTTAGATCTGGTTTATGAGCAAAGCAAAGATTGATCCAAGTGTTTTGCTTTCTGAGCTTCCTGCAGAACTTCACTCTGTTCTTCATACTTTTCTCACATAGAAGTTACTTATTCTTGTTTTTTAAAGGTTTTCTAATCAAAATGAAATTTTTACAAATAGCTGATTATCTAACAATTAGCTGTGAAGCTTCTCCTAAAAGTTATCTTGCAGATTCTTAACGGTACATGAACGTATAACTTTTGAGTACAAAACTTGCGTGCTTGCGTGTAAATATGTCATGTTTAGAACCAAATAAAAGTGAGTACTGATACCCCAGAGAGCATATTTGGGTTTTAGCAGAACTACTTTCAGGAGTCTGCTGTGAAAAATGTCCATGCAGGAGAGCAACTTGAATTAAAGAGGCTTTGTGTACACACGTGGCAGCAAGTTAAATAGCTCTCTAATTGGTTTACACTTTCCTGGACAGGGTCTATTGGTCGCATCCAGTCATGTGTTCTAAAATCTCAACCACAGTGTGAAGGTCAGATTAGTTTTTAATCTCAAAAAGGTTCTTGTGTCCTTTTTCAGTTTTATTTTTGTTGAAGTTTGTTTGTGTTGAAGTAAAGAGCATAAAATGTAACCACATTTTAGTTTTTTATGGCTCAGTTTTCATACCAAACAGAGCCTTTAGTGTTCCTTCTCTACAATTTTCTGCCATTGAATCCCATTTAAAATGCATAAATTTAGGTTGTGTTTGCAATCTGCTACTGGCTGTTACAGCTGGAATTAATCTGTCATCACACCAGTACCACAGATTCCCACCTGGGATTGGCACTGGAGTGTCTAATAATCCTGCACATATCTGCCAGATTAAATGCATGCCAGTGAGTTTGCTTCATGCTGTCTAAATAATTTTGCGTGAAAATGAAAACTTCAGGCAGAAGATCACGGCTTCTTTCCTGCTCTCGGTTTATCTGCCTCAGTAACATCTGTTTGATTTAATCTGTGTTTCCATTCTTTGCCATAATCTGCAATAAAACTCTGGTTTAACAGCTAAAATCAGCCAGATTAATAGGCTGTAAAATAATAATTTTCTGAAAAACAATGTAATTTAAAAACAAATGAATAAATCTAGAAGTGTGAGGATTATTCTGAGCACCATCCTGAGTCTAGGCAGCTTTCTTACATCTATTTCTGTCCAACTTTAGCTGGGATGTAAAAATAGAACATTGTCTCTTTGAAGCAGACATATGTCTGTGTTTTGCAGGATAATATTCTCGTTGACCAACAGCTCAGTCTTTCTCTTGTTTCAGCTTGTTCATGTGAAATGCTCAACACATTTTTCTCATGTCAAAATTGTAAGAATTAAATTTTTAGCTGGTGTACGTTGCTTTCTTTGCACTGTGTCAAATAAGCCAAACCTTTTAAAAAACCTGTTCCCCTCCTCACCTGTGGTGGCGCTGCACCAAGAGCCACTGATAATTTTTGTCCACTTTCTAATGCAAATATCTTTGTTTTAATAAGACTAACTTACAAGTAACTTTTCAACAAGATAGAGGAGCTTGTTTTAAGTCAATAATGTCTCAATATTGATGTTCTAGATGGCTGATTGGCTGATTGCTACTGATGGCTACTGGCTGATTTTTTGACTTTTAACAAAAATTTAATATTTCTTTCACGTGGAAAAATGTTGTGATAAGTGGAAAAAATCCTCAAGTGGAACTGACATGTTTTTATAATCATTTTAAGGAACTATTTACATAATTTCCTAAATTGGAGTTATTTAATATATCTGGCTGAACGGTAACTTGACCTGGTTTTGTCTTATTAAAAAGACATTTGCACAAGAAACTGGTCAGAAACATTTTTTTTGTGTTTTTGCACAATATGGTAAAAGCACCATGGTTTTTACCAGCTGGTTTCTGGTAACACATAAAACATAGATGTTATCTACTGACATGCAATGTCCTTGTTATGTGGAGCTGATAATAAATGGGTTACATTGTGACAACTGAATGATATGAGTGACGCCACTTACAATCCTTCAGACAGGACGCCTGTCTCAATACAGCGATATAATACAGTGATTGTCTCTCATGTTATTGTTTAATTTGGTCACATTGACATTGGATCACTGCCAGACTGCAGGGTTAAAAAAATGGCCTTTTTAGAACCTCTCTGACAACAGGAAGTAGACAAAAACAGTTTCAAAGCAGGGAACTACATAAAAATGTGTCTCCTACTTACTAAAAACATCTTAATAAATCTTTTCAGAAGATGTAAATCTGACGTAAAACTAACAGCATTTCATAAAAAGACACAAATAGCTGAAAAGGACGAGAGAGAAGGATAAAACGTAACAGGGTTAAAAAGGCAGTGGGTCAGTTATCAGGTTAAATATCAGGTTATTTTGTTCTTCAGTCATTAATCACTTTTTTTTCATAAACAACTTGACTAATGTTAACTTGAGTTTAAATATATTTCTCAGTATGACACTATTGGTATGTTTCTGATAAGTCTGATCATTTGTATCCAATAATCCAATGAAGACATCATTTAAAGGGACGGTGTTGCAGTTTTCTGGCACATAGTCATTTTATGGCACAGTGAAGTAGCTGTTGCTGTTAGATGTTGTAAAAATCTGACAGCATATATCAAACATGACTTCAAAGAAATTAAGACTGCAGCTAACAATTATTTTAGTAATCAATTAAGTTATTCTGATAATTAGTTAATTAATCAAATAAATTCTACAAATTTCTAATTTCTTAACTTAAACCTTTTCTTTACTTCACCCTGTTCTAACAAACACTATATTTGCATTTTCTACTGTAAGTGTTAGCTTCATTTATTTTTTTATGATTTGTAAAAGTGAAGCTTTAATATTTTATTTTAAAATCATGTTATTAATTTTATTTTAGTCCTTAAAATGCCAGAATTGGGACATAATTTTACATTTTTGCATTTATAGATTTTAAGTCAGATGTTCTGATCAGTACTTCAGTCACTTTTTATAACCAGATTCTTTTATTTTTACTTTTATTCAGTAATTTCTTGGATAGTTTTTACTTCTACTTGAGTTAAAATATGCTGAAGTTTTGCTACTCTCAGTTTTCACCCGGACTTTGCTCCGGATTTTATAACTTTTATCACCGTCTGGAGCGAGAAGTACAAAGTCCAGTGGAGTTGAGGGGAAACAGTTTTTCACCTGCGTCTTTTCCCACATTGACCTCAATCTCCAAGCCTTCCTTGGTTCCAGTGGCCCAAACGCCCACCGTCCGGCCTTTATTCCTCCTGCTTTATTAGTTGTGACATTTCCCCTCCAGAGCAGACAGGCGGCTTTGTGTTGGGACCCGTGAGATAATGAGGGATTTTACAAACACACACACACACACACACACACACACACACACACACACACACACACACACACACACACACACACACACACACACCACACACACACACACACACACACACACACACTGCAAAAACACAAAATTTCACCTATTTATCAATAGTCAATTATTATTGACTTAAAACAAGCTCAGACTTCTTTCTTTCAGTTTTGTCTCATTTCATGTGTCGTAAAATACTTGCACTAAAATAGACCAAAAATACTCTGAGATTTTGTTTTGCAGTGCACATTTTACTATGGCACTGCACTAAATATCCACTGAAAAACTCCGAAATTTTGAGATTGATGTCAGAAAATTTCCAGAAAAAGCATCAAATTTCCTGGGGTTAAAAAATCAAATCTTTTATTTTTATTTTAAAACTCCAAATAAGTCCAAAAGTCAAATTTTTTAAACTTTTGAAACTCAGAAATGTTCACGTTCTTCTGGAAATTCTCTAGGAATAAATTAGATCAATTTAAAAAAAAAACTATTCTGAGTTTCTTCTTGCAAATTTTCAACTTTTCTCTTAAAACATCCCTGAAATTAAACTCCAAACTTTTTCGCAGTTTTTGTCGGAAATTTACTCTTCCTTCTCTTTCTTTTCATTTTTTAAATCCACGCAACAGTCGTCATTTGAACACCCACGTCACTGCCCTTACCTTCCGAACCTGGTCCTGTGCAGGTGAAGCCCGAGCATTGTTTGTCTCAAAGCAGCAACATGCAAAAGTAAACGAACATGCACAGCAATAAAAAGAAAAAAAAAGTTGGGATATGTACAGAGTTTATCAGCGCTTGTCCATTACACCATCGTGCTCTTCTTCTCCCTGAAGTCCGAGTGCGATGGTTCGTGGTAGGTGGTGATCATGTTGGCCGTGTCCCAGCGGCCCATCGGCGCAGAGGAGCTCTGCATCACCACCAGCCTGATGGGGGACTGGGTGGGCTGCGGGTCCGGAGCGTACTCCTTGGTGGGATCTTTGCCCCGGCAGTCATACATGATGCAGGAAATGAGAAAAACCAGGAGTAAGATAACGTAGCTGGCGATGAGGATGCAGAGGTTCAGAGTGACGGGGTCGATCTCCTGGTAGTTTTCCAGAAAGCCCATGGTGCCTGCTTCATGCTGGCCCTCAGGCCGCGGAGATCTGCAAGAGAAGCAGCAGCTCTTCCACTAGATGCTCCTCAGTCTGTCTTCTCTCCCTCCGTCCCTCCGTCTGCAGCCTCTCCGTTTCAGATCAGCGCCTTTGCTCTGTGGCTTTGCGGTAAAAATACTTTAATCCTCCCCGCTCCTCTAACCTGTAATTTCAGCTCCCGGTTTAATAACTTAAGCTGCACTTGCAACTCATCAGACTCTGCATTGTGTCGCCATCATCTGCCAACAAACAAACATTTAGCAACAGGCATATTTGAGGACAAACCAGTGTGTGTGTGTGTGTGTGTGTGTGTGTGTGTGTGTATGTGTGTGTGTGTGTGTGTGGGGTGTGTGTGTGTGTGTGTGTGTGTGTGTGTGTGTGTGTGTGTGTGTGTGTGTGTGTGTGTGTGTGTGTGTGTGTGTGTGTGTGTGTGTGTAATCCTAATCTTGGCTGTGAGAAAGGCTTGACAGAGGAAGCCATCTGGCTAAACACTAAATAGCTATTCAGAAAATGTTCACAGAATCAGCTCAGCAGAAATCAATTTCCTCATGAAATGTGTCCTGCAGATTATTTTGTTGAAGTTGTAATCCCAGCAGATTACGACAATCATTCTCTGGAGAATCCGAGAGGGGATTCACAGAATGTATATGTTGTGTAAAAGTTGCAGTTGTGTTTCCATTGACCATGTAAAGGAATAATTTGACATGTTGACAATAAATCAGCTTAAAGTTAACACCTATTTCAGAAAAGAAACTTGTTTTTTTTTTATTTAAAAAAGATTTTTGAGCTAAAATGGTTGTTTTGTCCGAATCAAAGTTGGATTATTTCGCATCACATGAGTCACTAGATCAAGAACCGGATATTGCCACTGGCAGAAACCACAGAGAAGACGGCAACAGGAAGTAGCAGGAGGATGATGGCGCAGCATACATGTCTGTGCAGCACACTGCAAAAACACAAAACCTTTCCAACCGTTTTGGTTGCGTTTCTAGAGACGATATTATAATTCACTTGAAATCAGACAAAACAAAAATTTTTTAGCCAAACATAGGAGTTTATTTTAAGTCAATAATTCCTTAATATGGCTGAAAAAGTAATAATTCCATTGGCACATTAATATATGACTACACATGTTATCAGTAAAATATTCTGCTATTGCAAAAAGTATGTTTTGGTCAAAATTAAAGAATTATTTACTTGTATAAACTACTGTTCTCTTTGCTGAAAAGTTCCTTTTGAGTTAGTTTTATTTCAAGTGTATTAAGATATTTTCACCATAATTTGTTTATTACATGCTCAAACTTATTAACATATTGTTTTAATTGTGATTCTTATTTCATGGGAAAACATCAGCTGTAAAATTGTGTTTGTTTTTGAAATGAGGAGAATATTCACACATTTATACCGTAAACAGGTGTTGCGTTCAGGTGTAGTTCTGCTAAACGGCAGCAGGGGGCAGCAGTTTTTAAAACATCAGGATTGTGACTGATAAAAATATCCTTATCAATGTTTGCGCAAAATCCAGATTAACAACTTCTGACGTTTTTAGGCAAAGTCCAAAAAGATCAAAACATAAAACAATTGACAGTCAATCTGGAGAGTGAAGAGAAGCAAATTACAATAAATAACTAATCAAATAAATGTGTCATTAATTTATCAGCACTGTAATTAAATTGATCAAATATTGAGTTAATTATGACTCCATAATGGATCATCAGATAATTTAATCCGAGTGGGTCAAGAAAAGCACCAGGTTAAAATTAAATAAACAAAATTAATGCTTTGAAGTTCAGGCTCTATTAAAACTGTAAATAATTTGTGTTGAAATGTCTAGAACATCCACTAGAGGGCGTAAGAATCACATGTAAGAAAATGTTAGAACAACCAAGACTAATTTTAAAAGTGAAAAGATTTTTGAAACAATTGATTGTAACATAATTAATTATGAAAATTATTGTATTTTAAAAGTGATAAAATAGTAATAATTATTTCAAAATGAAAATAAGGCAGGACAGATACACAAAATCCAACATAACAAATGCAGAAGGTGATTATGTACGTTTGAGCAACAGTAGAATAATAAAGTCTATAAAGTTTCACTTTGCTAGAAACTTTGTGTTTGTTTGGTTAGAAACGTTTGTTTCATGCAGTCAGATGATGCTGACATGTGAAAAACATGTGAAGAAAAGATTTTTCTCAAGAAGGAGCAGCATCACTCCAAAATAACATGAATTATTCAAGTAAAAAGTAAAAAGTAGCTGTCCAAAAAAATTACTCAGCTAAAAGTAAAAAAGTATTTGGTAAAAATTCTACTCAAGTTCTGAGTAAGTAATAAAATTAATCATTTAATATTTAAAAATGACATCATCAGACGGACCAAAACATGACGCTATGTGGAAATATTGGTGTTTTGGAGACAATAATGAAAACAATTCATATAAATACCATTATTAAGAAATAACAAAATCAAACAAAAAGATCTTTTTCCAAATCTTTTTTTTCAGTGCCAGACTTATAAAACTTCAGTGTGTTCTGCAGGTGTGTTTGTGTCTGGAGAAGTTTAGTTAAAACATTTTTTCAAAAGTTACTCAAGTAAATGTAACTGAGTTCCTACCCAGCTCTGCTTGAATGTTAGTTTTGTTTTATTTCAAACTAAGATATTTTCACTCGACTGGAAGGACTTGGTGAGATTTTGTGTTTTTGCAGTGCAGGAACCTCTCTGTGGTCAACAGCTGCAAAGCTGCTTCAGCATCAGCCACAACACTGAGGATTAGTTACCTTAATGGTAATTTCCCAGCAATCCCAGTCTGTGTCATAAACAAAGCAGTAACTGTAGACATGTGTGTTCAGCAACCAAGTTAACATCAAACAGAAAAATCAAAACCACAATATGCATTTAATTTTTACAACTCCTTCTTTGCTAATGAGACAAACACTTAGAGCTCAACCAGCTGCAGAAACATGGCAGGAAACCAACCAGAGTTTTTCCTCGCAGAGCAAACAGCACATAAACGTGAGGAGCATAAAATCAGCTGCTAATCTGCTGCAGCTCCAAACCGACTCAGCTGCGATCCGCGCCGCTCAGGATGACCGCACTCTCCTCTCAGGATGACCTCACTCTCCTCTCAGGGTCCCGGCGTATGTGTTCAGGAAACTGATGTCAGGGTCAAAAGGCTTGACCCTGATCCTGCGTGACTTCCACCCGGCTCCTCAGGATGGGAGCTGAGGAATCATCTGTCGGCGAACAACAATGACCTCTGTGCGTCACGGATCCTGCTGCAGAAGTTTGCATCTGGAAGGAGTCAGAGCCGCGAGGGTTTTGGTTACAGCGAAGAACGTTTTCATGTTCCTGCATCTTGTTCTCACTAAAAGCAGAGATTAAACTGCAGCCTCACAGGACAGCTGTCATCAGAAACAAAGATCAAACCATATGAGATTAGTTTACATCATAAAGAAAAGGTTCTCTGGGTTCTTCTTTTAAAGTTGAAGCCAATGACTGGAGCAGGAATAGATTAAAAACATTCAGTTTTAATTTGTCCATCTTTGTGGAAAACTCACATTAGTATATGATTTAAGATTCATAGATTCATGTTTTTATTTCTTCAAAGAGGCAGCAGGAGTGCAAACGTTAATATCTGTGTGCTAATAGAAAAGAGTAGCTCCAAACTAAATATTTAGTTCCAAACTAAAGAGGTTTAAGAGAGCCAAGTTTTATTCTGGTAATCCACTTGACACATAGGCAATTTACTAAATATTTAGCTTGTTAAGTAAATATTTGATTTGAGGTTAAATATTTAGTTTGGACCGAGATATTTAGTTTCTAAACTAAATATTTAGTTTGTTCATTAAGTATTTAGTTTGAAATTATGGCATTAGTGAAATTAATAAAAAACATGGAAAAAATATGATTTTGACCGATGAAGCTGCATCTCTGTATCTTTAGAAAGCGTAATTAACCCATTAATTGACTGCAGCATTACAAACGGTGCCCATAATGAGGTTCAGTTGTGCTCTGAATCAGAGGAATGCTGGGATGTTCTGCTTCTCAGGTTTGGCTGAGTGTGCTCCGTTCCTGCAGGGTGGAGCTTCTCCTGACCCTATCTGAGCGCGACATCTCCCCCAGCGCCAGGCTCTGGTGCCAGGGAGTCCAGCCGTCCCGCTGGGACGTCCATAGAGACACTCAGCAGGGACAGATGAGAAGGAACTTTAGCTGTTTTCTCTGTGAACCGACGACTTCAGGACTTGTCTTGTTTTCTCTCCATGCGGTTGTTTGGCTGTTTCTCCCAGCAGTGGTCCTCCCTTTGATCCGACATGTTTGTGACCTCAGTCTCGCTCTCCCACCATTGATTGTGGCCAGAACAAATGAGGAGGGAGAATCCCAGCAGGTTCTCCTGACCTCACAGTGTGAGCTAACACTGAAACAGGAGAGTGTGGGAGAGTTTGTGCTTCATAAAATTGGAGTAAAAGGCCCATAAATGACTCCAAGTCAAACAAAAGGTTTTCATTTGACTAAATAAATTACTCTAATTGTCTGCAGGAACTGTTTCCTGCTCCTCTTGAATTTGGAGGAGCACTACAAATACACAAAACCTTACGAAGTAATTCTAGTTTGGTAAAATATCTCAGTGCAATTGAAATAAGCCACTTTCAACAAGATATGGGAGCTTGTTTAAGTCAATAATTCCTCTAACATTGATTTTAAAAAAAGTAGTAGTTCCACTTCATCACAAGACATTTTTCCAGTGTTATAAGTGAAATAATCTGCTGAAGGAACTGCTTCTTTTAAAATCAATATTAAAGAACTTTTGAACTTAAAACAAGCTGCTACAACTTGCTGAGAAGCTGAAAAGTTCAAGTTTGCTTATTTAAAGTGTGCTAAGATATTTTCACTTTTAAGATTTTGTGTTTTTGCAGCAAGACTATAAATGCCAAAATCAACAACCAAACCTTCTTGAGTATTTATGCATATTAATGATGTAGTCGATCTGTTCTGCTGCTTTTTAGGTGAAATGTTTAAACAGAAAACAGCTTCAGTGAATTTAAACACAATAACTGTCAGTAATTTGAAGCAGTTGTTCTTTGATCCACCATAAATATTAAGATTAACGGTTAAGAAAAGTCCAGAAATGTTCAAAAATGTTGAAATCAAATGTTTGGGAATGTCAAACAACTTTCTTCTTTCCAAACCATTTCCTTGTGTGA